ATGTTCTCCTGGTTCTGCTAATTTCACTTTACATCATCAGTTCATGTAAGTCTTTCCATATTTTTCTGAGGGCATCCTGCTCATTATTTCTTAAAGCACAATAGTATTCTATCACAATCATATACAACAACTTGTTCAGCCGTTCTCCAATTGATGAGCATCCCCTAAATTTACCATTCTTTGCCACCACAAAAAGAGCTGCTATAAATATTTTTGTACACATTGGGTCCTTTTTCCTTTTTGTTTTTTTACAGAGATGGGGTTTGAATACATGGGTTAGAGGTTAAGAAACACAACTTCTTTTTTTTCCTCACTTGAATCCTGGGAGCCAGCCATTTGATGATGGTTATTGTCCTTTTCCTTAATCTACAGAAAGATCCTCCTGGGTGATGTCCGTTCAATGAGCCATGTCCGTCAGGAACTTGTTCATACTTCATATGGGCTGTCATCAAACAAGCTTAAATTTGAAAGCTACTCTAAGGTGGAGAGGATGCCAACCCATTCATCAGTCACAGATTATGTCTGACTGAAAGAGCATGCCTACTGGGAAATGTACACAGAAACTGAACTTGCTACTCTGACAGCTTGCAATTCCTGTTGATCAGGTCAGGGATCACAGTTCCGTTAATTGGCAACAATTTCTTGGATCTGAGGACATCGGCCCGAAGGGCTGCCTTGCTGCCTGGGGAAGAGATCTGATGATCTCTCAGAGCAGCTGACACCTGTCTGTGGGTGATTATCAGGGAACGACAGTGATTCATCCATGGAGAGCCTGCAGGGATTTTTTTCCCCCTTTCTAGCTATGTTTTCCTCTCCTCCACTGTGGTTTGTCAGTGCAGAGAAGGAAGGCAGTGAACAGGGACTAGGGAGAAAAGGTGTTGGAAGTAATAAGGGAAGGTGTGAATGCCTTTTAAATTACTTCCTCCTAGAATTTAGATAAGCTTTCTCTAAAAAGCTATGATGATGAGGCAGAATCCATCTGGCTGCCAAACTTTATTTAAAAAACAGAAAAGCTCTTTGAACACATTGTGATTTGAAACACATGCTGCATTAACTCTGTAACCACCTAGGAGTTCCTTTCAGTCACTGCTTCCCAGAGACATTCACACTTCCTCAGAGTAGGGTATGCATATGTGCTGGTGGTGGGAGAGGGAAGGGGGGAAGGAGTGATAAGGAAAGTCTATCAATTCATTTCAAGTTATTCCAAGATTTAAAATTGGAAAGGACCTTGGAGTTCATCTAGCTCAGAGGTTCTTAACTTGAGGTCCACAGATAAGGGAGGGGAGAAGAGCTGTGACCTTGGATGGAGAAAGAAAATTACATCTTTATTTTCACTAACATCCACGTGAAAATTGACATTTCTTTCAATTATATAAAAACATCATTCTGGAAGAGGTCTGTAAGTTTCAGCAGACAGCCAAAGGGGGCCATAATGCTGTTGCCATCTTGGGGAGGGAGGAGAGGAGAGAGGGAAAGAGAGGAGAGAGGGAAGGACAAAAAAAAATTGGAACTCAAAATCTTATAAAAGTGAATGTTGAAAAAATAAACAATTATTATTTTGTAAAAGAAGAACTCATGCTGTAATTCAGCCATCTCATTTTATACCAAATGAATCACAACCTTAAGAGTAGAGGACATCCTCACTATCTCTTCATAACTGTTATACCGAGAAATTAGCGAGTTGACCACCCAGGCTAATTTAAATTGTGGACTTTATTATATTAGCGCGCGGCTGCCAGGGATATTCACATCCAAATCAAACAGCCCTCATCAGGGGTCGAGCTAGGGTTTATATATGGAGTATACAGGACAGGGAGGAGGATGGATCTTTGAAGTCTGGCAAGAGGAAGAGGTTTTTTTTTTTGGGCTGGTCAAGGACACCCCTCTCCCTCTGTGTAGATATGATAATGCTCTGCAAACTTTCTCACAATGGAGGCTTCCAGAGATATGATCTGAGGGCAGTGGCCTGAGCAGCCAGATAAGGGTCTTGCCAAGGAATTTGGAGTTTTCCATGGCCTAAAGGGTTCTACTACCTAAATGGTAAAATAATGTTCTGCATTACAATAACCTTCCAAGCAAAACAATTTTATTCTTCCTTTCACTCTTCACCCCCTGAGGCCTTTCCCTCCACTTGAATGGCTCCTCCTAGAAGCTACTTTTATGGAAGGGACCAAGAGCAGCCATCTCTTCATTTCTTACCAGGTTTCACTGTGGACTTCTCCATCGTGCCCTATGCCTGGTACCTTCTCTCCCCCTTCTCCTTTCAGCTCTTTTTTGTGTGTTGTCTTTCTCCATTAGAATGTAAGCTTTTTGAGGTCAAGGACTATCTATCTGTCTTTCTTCTTGTTATTTGTATTCTTAACACCCAGCACAGTGTCTGGCACATAGGAAATGCTTCATAAATGCTTGTTGATATATTGACTTTAGCTGGAACATTCTAAGCTCGACAATGTACCTTTAGAGCAAGACAGAAATGCCACTCATCCCAGTCTTTCCCCTCTGGAACCTGGGGCAGCTTCCACTCTGTGATGAAAGAAGGGGGATATGTTTCATTATCTGTTCTCTAGAATTGAGACTGGCCATTACAGCTGACTAGTTGCCTTTAGTGTCATTTTTATTTAACTTATGGCAATCTTGTGTGTGTGTGTGTGTGTGTGTGTGTGTGTGTGTGTGTGTGTGTGTGTGCGTGCGTGTGGGTAGTTCTGCTTTTGCTTGCTAGTTTTGTGGGGTTTTTTTTCCTTATGGTAAAATGGTATTCCATTACATTCATACACAGTTTACTCAGCCATTCTCGGTACTAATGGGCACCCACTTGTGTTTTACCTTTTTTTTTTTTTTTGCTAACTTCTCTCTATGCCTCCAAAATGCTTTTTTATGGCATATATAGGGCTTTTCTGTCTTTGACCTCCTTTAGGCATATGACCCAAATGAGAGAGCAAAATTAGTGCAATGGCCAATTTAGTGACTTTTCGCAAAGAACTGCAAATAGTCTTCCAGAACATTTATGCCATTTCATTGTTCCAACATTGTATGAGTGAGTTTGCCTTCTCATAGCCTGCCAACACAGATTGCTCCTATCTGTAATTATCTTTGCCACTTTGATGGGTATGAAGTATGTATGAGTTATTTTTAATTTAATTTGTTTCTTATTACTAATCATTTGTGATTTTCACATATATCTACCAATAGTTCTCATTTCTCTTTTTGGAAAATTTTTCATAGTTTGATCCTTTTTTGGAGAGACAACATAGTAAAGTAGGAAGAGACAGTAGAACTGAGATCAGAATACATGGATTTTGAGCCCACTTTTACCACTTTTTTTTAAAACTTATTGACTGTGTGAGCTAGGGAATGTCCCTGGAGCACTCTGACCCTTTGTTTGCTCATAGGTAAAATATGAATTATAGCATGTGCTCATAGGCTTGGTGTGAGAAAAAAAGATACCAAGTAAATTGAAAAGTTATATTTTTATGTATGGCAGTAAATTTAAGGGGCACACCTTCGAATCAGCAAGAAAGGTCTATGATCAAGTCTAACTCTAATTGTGGACAAGTCAATTAGCCTCTCCATTCCTCTGGTAGCTTTCTAACACTATTGATAGGAGTTTCCACATTGGGAGTTCACTTCATTGATCAATTAACCTGTGAAGGTCTGGACCTGAAGAAAGGTGATAGATAGGTAGGTAAATAGATAGATAGATAGATAGATAGATAGATAGATACATACATACATACATACATACATACATAGATGGATGATAGGCATACTATAGTTATATATGCAAAAGGATTCATTTTAACTTTATTGTTGTTCCATTGTAAATAATCCCTTTTTAGTTTTATTTACCTTAAAAAGAGTCACACAACTCTTTATAAGTTTCAAATGATCCCATAATGACATCAAACTCCTCAGAGTAGTTGATATTTTGGCTTACTTTCCATGACTGTTGGTTTCACTGAACTGATAAATTTTGTCTTTACAGTATTGTTTTCTTGATTCCAATGAATAGACCTTTATCAACTGATTAATCAGCAAATATGATTTAAAAACAAGACCCTCTTTCAGACTAAGCTCTGAGAGGAAATAAAAATGCTTATGCTAATTATGGAAATTTTTATTGACATATTATAATGCTTCCCATTAATTTGTAGTATTTTAATGGGATGTTTCTTCTCTAGGGGAAAAGAGATGGATTCTGTTAGTTCAAATCAAGGCAACAAACATTTGTTAAGTCCCTTCTCTATTCCAGGTGTAGTGCTAAGCACATACAAAGAAAAGAGGAGGGAGGGTCCCTGCCTTCAAAGAGCTTACAGATCTTTGGAGGAGAAGATGTGCAAACAACCATATATAAGTAAGATAGGTAAAGAATAAATTAGAAATAATCTCAAAGGAAGGGCACTGGAAAATGAAATCCTCAAGGAGCTTGGTTTGGTGACAAGCACTAGGAGGTAGATCAGAGCCAGTTTTCAGTTGTATAATGGCATATAAGTCACCCAACATCTCTGAGCTTCACTTTCCTCATGTCTAGGAAAGGAAGATTCATATTTGGGCTGCTTGTTTTATAGAGATCTTGTGAGGAAAATGCTTTGCAAACTTGGGAGCATTGTATAAATATGAGTTATTAGTGCTATCAAATACACACAAATAATGTAGCTTCCCTAAAACATATCTTGCAGCAGAAGGGCTTGCCAAGTCTCTATCCTTATGAACAAATCATTAAACTGTTTCCTAAGAGTGAACATTTTGACACACCTATCATCCTAGAAATGAGTACCCCATTTTATCTTTCACACAAGAACTCTCTGAACTGTGGGAAAAGAAAACTCTTAGTCAAATGCTATTCCCTGACCTTCATTTTGTTAGCTGAGGGCAGTGCACAAAACCATTATCACTCATTTCCCAATTTGAGTAGCAAGTTGATAACACTGAGGGGACAGTGAAACTTTCAAGAAATCCAGGGTCAGCCACATCATTTCAATGTCTGTTAACTGTTTCTACAGGGCAATTCTGGGCTGGGATTCAGTATTGCTGGAGGCACAGATAATCCCCATATTGGAGATGATCCTGGCATATTTATTACGAAGATTATACCAGGAGGAGCTGCAGCAGAGGATGGCAGACTCAGGTAAGACTGAGGGGGTAGTTCTTTGGAAAGGAAATCTGTAGCATTGAGGAACCATATTTGTATATGGACTTTCCAGAACAATAGTTTTTTTTTTTGAAGAATGTCACATGGAAATAGAAGACAGTCAAAGCAGACTTTCTGGGGTGACTGTCAAGGAAGGACTGAGTGGGAACAGGACATCGATAACTGGGATGGTATAATCATTTGTCCTCCCATAGCTCATAGAAATCCACATCTCTGTTTATAAGTGTTCACTGCATTTCTATTTATCAGACCAGCAATAAGCACTTTAGAGTATATATTCTGTGCTCAGCTTGATGTTGAATTGCCTGGTGAATACAGAGAAGGTGTGAAACATTGTACCTGTCCTCATGGGGCTTGCAGTCTTGGTAGGAAGATGACTTACTGAGGGAATAATGAGTCAATGAAACAAAATACAATAAAATTAAGGAAAAAATAAAATAAAGAAAAATCAGATTAAAGAAAAAAGTGAGAGAAACTCTAGGTTAGGGAATAGGAAGATAGGTGGAAGCCTACAGTAGTCAAGAAAAACTTTGTGGGAAGAGAAGTGTATGAATTTATAATGAAGGAGGCAGGTGAGCACCTGAAGTAAACAGATCAATATGTGAAGCTTTGGAGAATGGAAAGAGCTCTGAGATTGCAGTCAGAGAAGATAGGGGGTTTGAATCCCAGCTCAATTACTAGATGAGTGACCTTGAGAAAGTCACTTGTTTTCTTGGAGCCCTAGATTCTCCTTCAGTAGAATAGGAATGAGATTTGTACTACTTACCTTGCAGGGTTCCTGTGAGCACAGTGCCTGGCACATAGTAGGTATGTAAACACTTTTCTAAAAGAAATGTCAGCTCTTAAGTATACAGGGAAGTTCATTAGACTAGGAAGCAGGTAGCATGGCCTCTAGTTTTGACTTTGCCCCTGACTAGCTTTGGGAAAGTTAGTTAACCTCTGTAGGACTCACTTTAAACAGATGTAGACAGTAAGATTTGATTTCAGAATCTTGAAGCTTACTTTCAACTATAGAAATCTAGAGTTTTAAAGTTCTATAAATGAGGACACAAATGTGGGAAAGAGCAAGGGAGTCAAAAGGAGCATTTTGGGGAAACTGAGGATACCATCTTGTCTATGGTGTAGTAAATAGTGCGCTGGACTTGGAGTCTGGAAGACTCGAGTTAAAAGCCTCCTTCTGATACTTAATAGCTGTGTAATAGCTGTGTATCCCTTGGCATGTCACTTGGCCTCTCTCGGCCTCATTTCCTCATCTGTAAAATAAGGGGCTTGGACTTGAGGACTTCCTAAGTTCCTGTCAGCTCTAATTCTTTAATTCTATTCTCCTTTGACCAAGGCATAAGATTCCTGCTATGGGATGATGGGTGATAACATTGTATATAGTAGAGTGAGATACTATGTTCAGTCATTTCCTGGATGCAGTGGGAGATCAGAAGATGGCCAGGTCTTTGCCCTCCAGAGACAGCCTTTTTAAGGAGACATGGCTCACACTATAGGGCAATTGGGGAACAATATAAAATAGGGAATGATTGGGGCAGCTAGGTGGCGCAGTAGATAGAGCACCACTCTGGAGTCAGGAACCTGAGTTCAAATTCGGCCTCAGACACATAAAACTCACTAGCTATGTGACTGTGCAAGTCACTTAACCCCAATTGCCTCACTAAAAAAAAAAATAAGGGATGATCATAACAGAGATAGAGTGGTGTAATTGGGAGAGGGTTCACTGAGGAACACTCAAACTGGGCCTTGAAGATGATGCGTGCAGTGACAAAAAACCAATGGGCTTAGAGTAAAAACAAAACAAAACCAAACAGACCTGTCTTCTAGCTTCCACTCTACTTTTGCGTCATGAGATAACTTTGAGCAAGTCTGTTACCCCTTCTAAATCTCACTTTCCTCCTCTATAAAATGAGGATGTTTCCTAGATCAGAGGTAACATTGCCCTTTAGGTTTTTGTCTTTGAGGAACCCTTTGTCAAAACCTTCAATGTAGAAACTGCCACTTGTTAGTAAATTTACTATTAATTCCCATTGACTGTGAAAATGTATGATGACAAAAAGCTGCTATGCATTAATGTGAGCTTTTCAAATAGTTTTTGTTGTATTCATCATAATAGCATTCCCATATATTTGAAGAATACTAATATATTTAAGTGTGACATTATTCAGGCTCCAGAAGGTATAGTTAATTATTATGCTGAGTCACACTGCATACTTTTTTGGAGCTGATTAAAGGTTAAAAAAAATGACAGTAATAAATATGGAGAAAAAAGAGAAAAAGAAAGAGAGGAGAGAGAGAGAGAGAGAGAGAGAGAGAGAGAGAGAGAGAGAGAGAGAGAGAGAGAGAGAGAGAGAAACAGAGACAGATTCTTTTAGATGACTTCTAAGAACTCTCCCACACCCACTGTCTTCTAAGGATCTTGAACTAAATGACCTCTAAGGTCCTTTTCATCTCTAACTCTGTGTAAGCCTAAAATCTACAGAGCTGTTTGCTTTGTTCTATTTTTTTTCCTACTTCCCAAACAATAATAACTAACAAAAACTGTACATGGGACAATTTCAGTGGGAAATGGGGATGGGGCTGATGAAAGAAGGGAAAATTCCACTCTGGTACCATCATTCTAGTATATGGCAACACCCATTCTCCAGAAAATTCTGACCTTCACCTCTACAGGAGTTCAGAGAGAGGGGAGGAAAGAAGGTTTGGGAGGTGAACCACAGTGACAGGTGGTGATCCCTATTCTTACTCTGGAGCAGGGATCAGAACACAGCCTGTTTTTGTATAGTCCACAAGCTAAGAATGGTTTTGACAGTTTTATATGCAATAAAACTTTATTTTAAAACGTAACAGCTATTATTAGCTCTCAGGCAGTACAAAAACAAGAATTTTGCTTACCTCTGCTTTAGAGGAACACAAGGTTCCTCAGAGAAGGCATTCCCTGGAAAGTAGGGAAATATTCTGAGAGAGTTAAATGGTTCAATGTATGATAGAGTGGCCAGACCTGGAGTCAGGAAGACCTGAGTTCAAATCTGGCCTCAGACATTTACTAGAAGTGTGATCCTGGACAAGTTACAGAACCTCAATTTACCTCAGTTCCCACATCTGTAAAATGACTATAATAATACAAACTACCTCCCAGGGTTGCTGGGATCAAATGAGATAATTATTGTAGAGGGCCTTTCCACAGTGCCTGGCACATGGAAAATATTCTGTAAATGTTAATTGTTGTTGTTATTATTATTATTTTTATGTTTCGGTGACCTGAGCAAAGCACCATTTGCCAAGCCTAGTTATGGCTTTGCCTACTAAATTGCAAGCTCTTTGAAGTCAGGCAACATGCCTATACATATTTATATTCTTGACATTTAGCCTAGCACAAGGTTTCATACGTAGAAGATGTTCAGTTAATATATTAATTAACTAATTATTACATTAATTACAAGAAGCCATTTAAGTTTAGTAGCACCTACAAAGACATATAACACATCCATCTAGCTTTTGACAAGCCAGGACTAGCTCTATACCTCTAGACTCAGGTGAGGACTTTAGGAGAAGAAATAGTCTTTATGGAACTATACAGGAGTTGTTTATCTTTTTACAATTACAGCATTGTTTTTGTGAACTAATTCTCAGACCTAGGGAAAGGTGCTACAAAATTTTCACATTAAAGGTTTGAAATTATGGAAAAATATGTAATGGGATGGACAACTCATTTTACAATAATTTCCTTCTTATAGAGTAGGAAACCACCAAGCCCTGTACAGATCTGATACCTACTTCGAATCAAAATTTCAAATTTAGAAGGAACTTTTTAAAGACTGTGGACTCTAACCTCCTTTCCAATGTACAGATTCCTGGAACAGCCCATAGAGCCAATCAACAATTACCTGCCTGAATGCTTGGTGAGAAATGCATTGTTTTAAAGGAGTCTTTTTCATTTCTTGGTGAGCTCCTTTATAACTATAACAAATATTAAGCACTTAGTGTATGCCAAAAATCTATGATATAAATTCTGGTGGAAGATATAAACTTGAGATAAGACATCATAACAATGCTCCAGGAGCATACAGTTCAGAAAGTTTTTAACTGTACTGATCTGAAAATATTGATCTTCTACAGTTTGTGTCCTTAAAGCCACATGGAAAAATATGACAACTTTCCATTATTTGAAAATGTCTCTTATGACTCTTTGATTTTTACCAGTGCAGCAGGTATTATTTCCCCAGGTATAGATAGACTTTCAGTGTGTGTGTGTGTGTGTGTGGTGTGTGTGTGTGTGTGTGTGTGTGTATGTGTGTGTGTGTGTGTGTATTGTTTTCTTTTTGTTTGTTTTTGTTTTGTTTTGTTTTGTTTATTTTTCCCAGTAAGTAAACTCTAAAGAATTGGTGGAGTAGAAGAAGCTGGAAAGCCATAATGGGACATAAATAGAATGATTAGCATTTCAAGGACAGTGATGCGGGGGTGATAATACCTTTAAACCCTAGTCCAAGTGAACAATGGATTAAAGATAAAAACAATTTACTTCACTAATACACTCTTCAGAATCTATTGATTTCATCTCTGTTTTTATCTACCTATACTTCATATTTTCTGTCTCTTTACCTCTACGTTTCTCTATATCTTCACCTTCTGTGAACATGTTTTATACATGTATTCATGCGTATGTGCCTGCATATACCACACACATGTAATGTGTGTGTGTATATACAGTGAGAAATTGTTTTATATACAATGATTAAAATGTATACACAGATGTAAACATGCATATACATTTTATATACCTATATACATATGTGTGTATGGGTAGATCTTATTTCAGTATATTTGTTTTCTTTTGTCATCTTATGTATCTTATTTTATATATTTAAAAATGTGAACCTCAGAAGGAGTCCATATGCTTCACCAGACTGCCGAAGAGGTGCAGGACACACAAAAAGGCCAAGAACCCTGGTCTATTTGTTTCCTCCTCTCTTTTC